GGAAAATTACTAACCTTGTTTTTCTTTTACTACAAAAAAGTGTCGTATAAGTCCTGATTCCGCAAATTCTATAATTATTTTGCTAGACAGTGGTAATTTATTTAACATTAGGTTAATTTGAATGTCCTTTTGTTCTGATGTTCATTTTAATTGATGATATACAATTTTGTGTATACCTTCGCCATTTACACATGTTATTGTATGTATATGCTTTACACTGTCTTGTCATGTATCATGTATCTGTTTATCCTCATTGACCATTTGGTCCAATGGAATATTGAAATAAACTTATCAAACTTATCAAACTTATAACATTGCGCGGCATTGAGCCGAATAATGTGGATTTTTTCCCGAATAAAAACGATCTGAATATGCTTGATGGTACAGTATCTTATTGGATGCTAATCTGAGAATCATACAATGTATCAGCCTAACACACTGAAAATACAATAATTGTATTTGTACATATTTTATTCTTAACAAATTCGTTGTATCTACATAACGTTTTTTGTACTTTTAATTAGTCATTTTGCATTTCTTTAATGTGTATCAGTTCTTTATTATCATAGCATTACTATGTAAAAGAACAATTGTTTTTTTTAAACATTTGCTGACTGTATCTATGTAGCGAATGTCATGTGCTATCTGTTGTCAAACCAGGTCCCTAAAAATGCAAGAATGACTTAACCTTTGTCCAAAGACAAAAAGTTTGTTATGTATTGCGACCAACAATGGTAGCGGTCACGCCATGAATGCAGTAAACATAAGTATATTGAACTACGTAACACCGGTAGGGCCATTTCAACCTCATGAATTGTCGATTTCATCTTCATGAAAACACCATTTTAACTTTCTGAATTCCCGTTTTCAACATACAGAATTCACGAAGTCACGTTTTTAGCTTCATGATATCCCGATTTCAACTTCACAAAATTCACGATTTTTACTTCATAAATTCACGATTCCAACTTCACGAATTCAACTTCGTGAATTCAAGATTTCAACTTCACGAATTCACGATTTCAGTTTCATGAATTCACGATTTCAACTCCACGAATACACGATTTCAATTTCATGAAGTTGAAATTGTGAATTCATGAAGTTGAATTCGTGAAGTTGAAATCGCGAATTCATGAAGTTGAAATCGTGAATTCATGAAGTTGAAATCGTGAATTCGTTGAGCTGAAATTGTAAATTCGTGAAGTTGAAGTCGGGCATTCATGAAGATGAAATCAGGAATTCATGAAGTTGAAAATATCCCATTTCATAAGGAACTGTGTTAACTGTATTAATCAAGCCATTCGGCGCTTATTTCTGATATAGTCAATTTTATTGTTTACGTAAACATGTCTTGTATTGAATTGCTATTTATAATTTTACGCGGAATTCATATCCGCGTAAATATCACGCAATCGTAGCCAGAGGTCAATATTGTATTACAAAAGTTTTTATTAGAATGGATCGTTGACACGAAAGTACAAATGGTCTAATTGGTATTTCAATTAAGGTACGCTTATTGTTCACTTTATAATATGAGCCGCGTCACGACAAAACCAACATAGTGCGTTTGCGACCAGCATGGATCCAGACCAGCCTGTGCATTCGGGCAGTCTGATCAGGATCCATGCTGTTCGCTATCAGTTTCTCTACTTGTTATAGACTTTGTAAGCTAACAGCATGGATCCTGAACAGCACAGGCTGGTCTCAATTGGTTAATATGTTAATTGGTTATGTCATGACGCGGCTCATATTGCGTGTTTATCGTCGGTTTAAACGATACTTTTCCTTAAAGGGTTGCAAACCTCATGTGATACAAGAATTTCCCAGGTCAACAAAAGTCATAATCATTTAGACTTCACTGTTTTCTATGGAAGACAGATGGTGACATTTCAACTTTCTGTACTCTCGGGTTCATCTTCACGAATTCACTTTTTCAACTTTATGAATTTCAACTGAAATATACGAGATCTAGTGAATTCGTGATTTCCGTATGTTGAAATCGTGAAGTTCAAACTTTAATTCGCGAGATGAATTCGTCGTGAAGAAGAAATCGTGAATTCATGAAGTTGAAATCGTGAATTTAAGAATTCCTTAATGTTGAAATCGTGAATTCACGAAGATGAAATCGGAAATGTATGATATTAAAAATGTCCCCCATCAGTCTTTCGAAGTTTTCTTATACTAATTCATCGTTTCCAATGATGGGCTGTTTACTAAAATGATAAAATTCAATAACCTTATATTTAAAGATGTTTAACTCAAATTTTCATCTCGAATATTTTCATTACCCATTACATTTTTGTAATTCTAACAACCATAGCCCGATGGGAGTTTTTCTTATTATTAATTAATGCAAGTGTGAATTTTAAGTTGAATAATGATTCACATCGGAGACGTTGAGTTTACCCTATGAGTCAATACACTAGATGTACACAAGATGTACACAATATTTAGGAACCACCTCGCCAGGTGACACTGTGTAAATGATACAGGTTTCCAAATTATATATTTATAGTAGAAGATCATCGCATAATAATGATCATCGCATAAAGAAGTGTGCGCAACTTTTTCAGATTAAAGGAACTCCACAGGTTTTTTGACGTGTCGGGGCAGGGAATATTTTCCCTAGATTCGTGTACAATTTGATGAATATCTGGGCTAATATGTTGTGTGCAAATTTTCAGTTTATTCCCTCGTTTCATTTTTCAAGAATAATAATTTTTATTGCGCAAAATGACAAGAATTGAAAAGCGTTTACTCAAATCCGGCTAAGAATAGCACAGAAAATCGATTTTCAATTCAGTTCTCAGTATATTTCTTTGTTATCCTTTGTAGTGTGTACCATTTTACGTGCTATATTTTTAAGATTTTCAAACTTTATGCTTTTGGCGGTGCAGTTCCTTTAAGGGGACTCCACAAGTACTGAGGTTTTTTGACATGATGGAACCGAAAATATTTTATTTTTTCCAGATAAATGTACCGTTTGATGTAGATTCAGACCATTAATCTTTGTGCAAAATTTCAGATCATTCGCGCATATCGTTTTTTTCCAGAATAATTATTTAAATTGTAAAAATATGACCAAAATTGGGCTAACAAAAGAATAAAAATACGATTTTCAATTTATTTCAAAGTAAATTTCTTAACTATCTTTGCATATTTCTGTTTAAAGTGCCCCTGGTCATTTATGTCAGAAATTCAAATGTTATGTTTTTCGGCTTTTAAACCTTAGTGGAGTCCCTTTAAAACAACTGAGGATATACTACACAAAATATCCCAAAGTTGAAATTAGCTCTCATGGCATTGTGTGCGACTATTTGAACAGCAGAGAAATTTAAAATCGTTTCTACTTATATAATATAACAAAAACATTCGATACATTTGTTGACACACAGTCCTGTACGAAACCATATGAGCCGCGTAACGACAAAACCAACATTGTGCGTCTGCGACCAGCATGGATCCAGACCAGCATGCGCTACCGCGCAGTCTGATCAGGATCCATGCTGTTCGCTTATGAACTGTATAACAAGTAGAGAAACTGATAGCGAACAGCATGGATCCTGATCAGACTGCGCGGAAGCGCAGGCTGGTCTGGATCCATGCTGGTCGCAACTACATTATGTTGGTTTTGTCATGACGCGGCTCATATATGTTGAAATAAACACCGCCACCCACACTTCCGGTAGTTTATTAACATAACGTGCTTTTAGCGTATATCTAAATAGAAGTTCTGCTTAGTCAATAACCACTCTGTCACCTGAAAGCATTAACTAATTGTAACGACTATCTATTGAATGAATATCCTGTATGAACGTTTCATATTGATCAGGGTCTTTAAAGATACATGATACGTGATGTAAAGAACGATGGCGCCATTCTTGGTGTCTTCTTTACCAACCCATAGCCTGCTGGAAGTAGCTAGTACCTTGTCAGTGCAGACCAGAATTAACCGGAACATCTTTGCTATCTGATCATTGCCTGTACTGTTCGCTGATTAGTTAGTACATGTACATAATTTGAAATTTTCCTTAAAAATAATTAATAGTTGTGTCTTGACTAAAAGATGAAAAGTCCCTTTATACGAATTGTAATATAATCATATAGTTTACATTCATAAAATCCGTGTGTGGTTTCATTACATTGATTTATAGTTAAGATATGAACTTCCTCATACTCTGTGATACAATTATACAATAAGAAGGCAAAGTAATGTGACATCCTTTGTATAGTTTATATATACAACTTCATAAAAATCACTATTTACGAGGTTAATTTCAATAATATGCGTCTAAAATGGCAATCAATGTGGGAGTTTTATATATCACATTTGAGCCGCGTCACGACAAAACCAACATAGTGGGTTTGCGACCAGTATGGATCCAGACCAGCCTGCACATCTGCGCAGTCTGATCAGGATCCATGCTGTTCGCTTTTAGTTTCTCTACTTGTAATAGGGTTTGTAAGCGAACAGCATGGAATCTGATCAGACTGCGCGGATACGCAGGCTGGTCTGGATCCATGCTGGTCGCAAACCTATTATGTTGTTTTTGTCGTGACGCGGCTCATTTCAATTCCGACATAAAGTGAATGCATTTAGCGGATTCAGAAAATAAATAGAATGTCTTGTTGATTGGAAGTTGTTGATACAAAACTTGCCGAACGCTATATCAAAATTTATTGATATAAAACATACAAAAAAAAATTTGTCTGAAATTTTACTTACTTTAAAACACAAAAAAGAAAAGACAATAACAAAGTACTTACATGTACAACATATTTTTTATACCATTATTTTTTTCATAATTTAAATCATAATTTGACACAGTGAAAATTACAATACCACACGACAGGGTTTTTGGTTAACTACAACCATGCAACGTTTTATATGCTTTTTGTACTTGCTAAGAAGAAAATAATAACAATAAACAAGTTAAAGGTCGTTTATGTCACAATTGGCTGCGGTAAGAAATTGTTTTGTTTTTATAAGGAGTTATAAGTCAGGCAATTGACTGAACTGTGCTCATCTCATCATTGTGTATTTTCAATCCTAGCAGCTTCTGAAAGGCTCTTCTGTATTGCTTATTCTTCCACGCGTACACGATTGGGTTGACAATAGAGTTCATCACGCCAAGAAACACAAGAAAATTTGCTACAAGGACCTTATTTTGAGTAACTTGTGACACTTCCAGCATTGTTAATTCAATGATAAAGAATGGTAGCCATGATATGTGGAAAAATAAAACAACGATAGCAACAACGGTGTTCGTCTGCTTTGTCCTTCGGACGGTTGGATCGTCAGTGTATACAGTAGCCTCAATTTGAATCTGACGCATGTGCTTCTTCACAATCAAGTATATCTTTACGTATATTAAAAACATAACCAGTGCAAATATTATTCCACAAGTGTGGTTCCACAATCTAAAATACTTATTCATTACTAGCTCATATAAACAAAATGGCGACTTTTCAAAATCGTTTTCAGAAAACGGAATGAATGCGCAACAAAAATCAAATATCCAAATTCCTAAAACTAGTCCGAAAGCAATTTTCCTTGTCATAATATTCGGATATCGTAACGGGTACGCGATGGCAACAAACCTGTCCACTACAGTACAAACCAACGAATAGATTGATGCATTACATGCAAAAAGGATTATTTCAAATCTTAAAATACATGCAATTTTATTCCGTTCCATTTCCGGGAAAAGGAAAAAGGCAACTTGAAACGGCTGTGTTACTCCAATTATTAGGTCAGCAAGTGCTAAATTTGCTACAAATATTCCAGTTATATCCTGTAGACTACGAAATTTCAAAATTGCCACTAATACTAAAATATTTCCTATGATTATAGCAACCATTGACAATAACTGTAAGGTCATAGTAATTATCGCCGAAGTTGGTAACTGTCCTTTGTCCACTGCTGAAGTGTTAAGAACTGAAGAATAAGTTACATTAACACTGTTAGACATCCTTGGCTATTGTAAAATATATAGAAAGTCCAGCACTCGTTTGAATTTTAAAATGTCTTCAAATCAATTGTTTGCCACATAAATGAGTGTTTAAACGCAATAATGTATCCATTTTCCTTTACCTTATTTGTAAATTATAACAAACAATACATCGTATTTATAATGTTATTGGAATTCGAATGGCGCTTTTAAAAGTTAACTATGATTTTGATAATAAAACCAGCATAATTTCAATTTTATAATACCGATAAATGCTGTCCTGTAATATCGAAGTCATCGTATATTCATTTATCAAATGTGGCAGAACTAGAGTAAACTATCTTTTTATCGCTTTTTATAGACGAATTTGCTGTGGTAACTGAGCTCAGCATTAAGTATAAGACGATAATTAGCCCTCCAATATCCGTTTAAACAGGAGACTTTCATGAGTATGACATAGATTGCTAACATTTTAAAAGTTTCATTAAAAGGTAATCATCAAGGAACCAGATCATAGGCAATATATAAACGTTGGTTCAACAAGGAGGAAATAATAGATAGCTGATGCCATGGTAGATGTGAGAATACAGTACCTGGAGGCAATATGAACTTTGTAGCTTAAGGTTTCATTATGAAACTGTAACAGTGACAATTTAGCTAACAAGGCAAAACACGTTTTTTGGTTGCTGCTTAAAACATTAGATCATTTGTATTATTTTGTTTTAAGTCGTGTTAAACAATTAACCTCTGTTTTCTTGCTAAATGTCGATCCAGATTGTATTAAAATTTCTACTCCTGTTGTTGAAGAACTTATTAGAATGCGAACATCTTCTCAGGTTAATATATCAATCTCTCTGTTTTTACAACATTTCAAATCATTTTTCAAAATTGTAAGTCTTTGAAAAAACATTTTGATGTCCATGCGAATGCCAATATGTTGTCTGCCCAAATCATAGCATTCGGAGAAACCTGTCCAAAACAAAATGACCGGCCATGCATTGTGTTTCTGGAAGGATTCAATTTGTCAAGAAATGATGACACTTTCTGTAGTAGCTGAGCATGAAATTTTTCATGAATTATTTTGTTATGGTCAATATCCTTGGTGTTGAATTTAAAACATATAAGTGGTGTGCTGGAAACACTGTGTTTTTACTTTTCGCATGCAGTTCCAGGCAAAATATTTTGTTGACATTTGAGTAGTTGCTAATTTATTATCATTTAATGCTCTAATTTAAAATATCAGCAGTTATTAAAGGTATAAATTTGCACATTGTAACGAAGTAGCTAAACAATTTTTTTTTTGAAATTTTGATTTTCCATGGGTGTAAATGGATAAAATTTGTATCGAATTTACAAAAAGGCGTTGCATTCCCTGAGTCTTATTGTTGCTAGAATGTCAAACTCTTGTGATTTTACAGTCCTTCCAATTTGCAAACGATACAGTTGCTAACTGTAATTTGCATGTGTCTTAAAGCCATTTTCCGGTGTATTTCAGACATTTGGAATAGTGCAAGAAGCTTACAGTTATATGAATGTGTATTACAACCATTTAAAAGAGTCTAACAGACAAAAAATGTGTAATACAGTCACAAGACTAATGTCTTAAATTTAATAATAATAAAGAGGTCCACAGTTATTTGCATGTTTCTTACAGTCATTTGAAAATGTCTTACAGTTATACTGAAGTTATTAAGTAATCCAGCATTACCTACGTCAATTACTCTATATCTGAAATGTTTTTGTTGTTTTTTTTAGATTCATAGTCATGTTTCTTCGACTGTGGTTTCCGGAGAGCTATTTCTATTTCTGTATCAATTTTTAAACTTAAGATAATGAAGCCATGTGGTTTTGTAGCTCCTAAAGCTGACATGTGTCATGATATAGTGAGACTTTAATAAGTCGATGAAGACTTTCAAAGGATATTAAAATGAGAAATATAATAATAATCACCTCCCAAAAAAACTAACAGCAAAGTGCACATGACTCACATTTTCAAACATAACGACTTACTTTGAAACCTGATACTTGTACTGTTATATAAACACTTAACTTGATCACAAGGGATACCATTTTTTGTTTGCTTCACAAACACGCCCCCCCCCCCCCCCTGGCACCGCATTAACCACATGGAGAGCATTTAACTATCTATCACAAAGTGTATTTGTTAGCCGATTTACATGTTAGAGATTTTCATTAATTGGAGAAAAAAAAGAAAAAAAATGAAAACAATAAGGTTAACAAATCAAAAATATTAAATAATTACGGAACTTGAGCATACAATTTTATCATAGATAACTGAAATGATAATATACAAAAAACAACAACAACAAACAAAAAAGAAAACAGAATGAAACCTACCCGAGAAGCAAGCATTGTGCCAGACTTTAAGTACACTACGAAACACCGAGCCTTGATTAATCTATACATTCTTACTTAATTAATAATATACTGTTCTTTTCAATCCTTGAAAACATTAATAAACTGAAACCTTACAAAGATGGAGTCTTAATTGATAATTCGTTGCCACTATAGTCAGGCGAGGCTACACGGTTTTATGCCTTTCATTGACACCAACTTTTTTTAAATCTTGCTGTGCCAAAATTTGATATCGGACAATACCAAATTTGAAGCTGAATAACGTTCAAGACATGTATAATTTTCAGTAGGTTACTTCAAAATGGTTTGGAAGCTACTAAACGTATTTTCATACATTTAGTTTTTACTGGAACTATCTTACCTTAGCATAATTTAAGCGGAGTTCGCATTATCTTCTCTTGATTCAGTATTTCAATAAAACAAGAAAAAACTATGCCTTTTCATTATTTTAACATAAAACTAGACCGTTAAACATGTGAATGAGAACTAGATCAACAAAACAGTTTGTTAAATCAAGCATCCTGTGATTAAAGTGTCATAAACTGTAGAAAACAAAGGCAATATAATATATTGTTTCAATCATCTTAAAGTACAAAATGATGTTTTTAATTGTTTTTATACCCTTTTTCATTTATAGAACTTAATTATTGGTTTCAGTGTTGCCGCTTCAAATCAAATCATAAACTCGTAGATAAAGACGTACAAAGACTTGTGTAATTGTTAAACTGTAAAACGTATTTTTGTCTTTTCTTGTTTTTTTAAAGAAATGTTCGGAACTTGAATAAAGTACTTGAATGCGAACTTAGACTTATATTGCACTTTATATGATCTCAACGGAGGTAAATAATATAGTTTTGCACATGGTATGATCTCAACCGAGGTCAATTATATGAATTTTGATTACAATATGACCTTAACTGAGATAAATAAGATACATTTTGCACATGAAATGATCTCAAAGGAGGTAAGTAACTTTAAAGGTGAATTTTGCACATGCCATGATCTCAACGGAGGTTAATTAGATGAATTTTGCACATGGAATTATCACGGATTTATATTACAGTAATGTAAATCCGTGGTATGATCAAATAAAATGATTTTTTCTATCTCATGAGATGTTGAAAAAAATGTACATGAAAATAAGTTCTCAACGGAGGTTGATAAGAAGAATTTTGCACTTGATATGATCGCAACGGAGGTCAATAAGATGCATTTTTCACATGGTATGACCTCAACGGAGGTTGATAAGATGCATTTTGCACTCGATGTTATCTAAATGGAGATTAACATGGTGAATTTTGTACATGATGTAATCTAAACTGATGTTTACAAGGTCGATTTTGTACATTATGTTATCTAAATTGAGGTTTTATAAGATGAATTTTGCACAAGGATGATCAAATACAATATTTTTTTCTCATCAACTATTAATTTTTTTTTTTTTTAAATCTTATTGTTGTTTATTTTTCTTTCTCATATATTCGGCAAGAAAATCACGGCGCTCCCTTTAGATCAATTTTCAAAATAGAAAATGAATATAGAATGTAAGTGAAGACCATTAGCTTTCAGTATATCAAAAAGTATTTATTTATACTAAAAATGATTATCTTATTAAAGTTTGCACATATATGTAAGGAATAAGTACTTTCTTGATTCCGGAAAGGAAATCTCGGTGGCCGCTTTAAAATCCTATTTTTTCAAATACTCGCATAGTTTTTGTTAAAAATGAAATTTGTACCAATTCATTGTTCAATGATATCAATACAAATATTGGCTGGCTTTAAGATTATGAATGAATTTACTCCCTTGAAGTTGGTCATTTTTCCCACTCAAAATTTCCAAATCGCCGACGTTTCTCATGCAAACAAGAGATTAAATAATAAGTTACTGCATAAGTTATCTTAATTATTTTGTATTAAATAAATGGTAAAAAAGTGAATCAAACTTTTGTAATAAATGCAAAAAAGATATGTTAGGAAAAATGCGGCGTGTTTTCTCTCAGTTTTATTTAGAAATAGGTGGAAAGCGCCGGGTCGCAATAAAGGTTTGTAAATACTCAAAGAGAGGCGAAGCGTCATGCATGGCGTACTCGTGTAAACACGTTTTCTTAAACTCTGTTGCATATTTCAGGTACAAAAAGAAATCTATAAGAGTGCAAACGTGCATATGTATTGTATGGAATGGAAGATACGAGCTTGTAATTTTTTTTATTTGTTAATGTTTTCCATGTTAGGTCTAATATATGTAAACTTGTTTTATAAAGACGGGAACCTTAAATTAAAAGATTGGATCAAGAGGCATATTATGTGCTATGCACGGATACATAAAAAATGATAAGCATACAAGTTCGCATTTTCAAAAGTTATTTTTAAAAGGAACAATTTATATGTCTGTAATTTTTGCAATAAACGCCCTCCTTAAAATAGAGGTTAAAATTATACGATTTAAGTGCCGGCTGATTGCCGATTGTACACGTAAAGTTAAACATGCGATAATTTTAACAGTTTTTAATCCAGAATATAAAATGTCTTTTATTAAAAAAATGGGCAGAAGAAAAATGTCTTTAAATGGACGCGGCATGTGGTCAAATTTATTTGCTGAACAGAATGTCGTAAACAAGTGTTGCTGATCCATGCATGCTATCT